AATCAGAAATATACAGCACTTGTTCAAGATAGAGGTTTCATTTTTGTCTTATCTTGGCTACAATGTATATATAAACATCTTCCAAAGTGTTCTGTAAAACTTTAATCCCAATTTTGGTGATCTAGCAAAATAGTACAATCGAAATAGCAAATTCCATCATGTCTAGGACACCACTGAAATGCCCCGAGGATATTTTAATCCAGGTTAGGGACGTTCTGTTTTCAAACCAATCATTGCAAATAGCAAGCAGAAAGCTCAAGTTTCCTCACTATGGCTTTTAGCCACGGTGGCAAACCTGGAGGAAACATTAGAAGCACCTCGCATTTTTCGAATCGGTTGTTCTTATTTCTGCAAAACCAGCATGACGCTTACCTACACAGAAGCCCTAAAGAGAATTTCAGATGTTTGTAAGGGCAAAGATTGCAGAAGTTTTCTATGTAGCTTTTCCCATTAGCTGATGGCTGCCCCAAAGGGTGAGCAAAGCCCCCCAAAAAAACTAATTCCTCTTTTTCATTCCTATTATTTACGTTTATTATAGCTGCCCAACTATATTTTGCCAGTCTGCTAGCAAAACTATCTTGACCTGTTGAGGTCCACAGGGCAAAGTCTTAATTTCCCCCCTTCTTTTCAGAGGGGGGGGTTGGCCCAAAGTGAGCCCCTCCAGCCCAGGAAGGGGGCTGGCTGTAAGGCTTGGGAAGGGTCCCCTAAATGATCAAGGGGACCAGGCAAAAGTTTCTGGGTAAGACTTTAAATTATTATTTTCTTTACATTTTTAAAAGGTCATTTTAAAAAAAAAAAGGTCTTTTAAATTGCAAGTGCTCCCGGTTGTGGGAAGGGCCGGTTCTTTCTGGGAGCGATGAAGCGAGGATAGCAAAAAGGGAGCAGCAGCAGGAAAGAGGACCAGAAAAAGGGGCAAGCGCTCAGACTACAACTCCCAGAGTTCCCCGTCAGGGCGTTCGCGCTTCAGTCGGGAGAAAGCGCGGCGGGAGGGAGGAGCAGGGAGGGAGGCCGGACTCGCGGGGCATCCTGGGAGTTGGAGTTCCGAACTCTCCGCTCCGCAAGCGAAAGGCAGGCGAGAGCGAGGCGGCGCGGCGGCCAGAAGGGAGACACGCAGGGGGAGAGAAGTCAGACCTGAACGCTTAGAGCGGGCCCTCAGCTCCAGCATTTTCCAGCTCACATCGGCCAGAGAAGACGCCATGGCGGGAGGAGGAGGAGGAGGAGGAAGACGAGCGGCCTGCTCAAAACTCCGCCCGAAGCCGAAGGTCCCGCCCCCTTGCCAGGAACGGTTGCTCGGCTCCGCCGTAAACGCACACCGCCCGCGCAGGCGCGCTGCGGCGGCGCCGTAAAGCGAACCCGGAAGTCGCGCGGCCCTGCCCAGCCGTGCCGGTGCTGGCCGCCGAGGAGCCGGTTGGAGTTTACCGCGCGATGGGGGGGCCCTGCCGCCCCGCCCGGGGTCCCGTCCTGGTTAGGCCTCGCCGGCCTTGGCTGCTGTGGCTGCTGCTGGTGGCGGCCGGGCCGCTGCTGAAGCCGGGCCGGGCCCTGCAGAATGTCACCTCGCCTCTCTTCGGGGCCGAGGCTTTCGGGACGCTGGCCGCCTTCGGGGACTTCAACTCCGACAAGCAGACCGACCTCTTCGTGCTGAGGCGAGGTGAGAGGCCGAGGCCGGCGGAGGAGCTGCCGGGGGCCTCGCCCTAGTCAGTTTCAACCCGAGGGGGTGGGCGGGGTCTTTAGGAGGACTGTTCCCGCCCCCTTTTTTATTTTATTTTCTCAGGGGGTGTGAAAAGCCGCCTTTGGGGCATCTTTGGGATTAATTGGGGTGTGTGGGGGGGAAGTCTGCCTAATGGATGTGGAGCAGGGGGCTGGTGGTACTTTGGACGCCCCTCCCACACTCTTTCAGTGAATGATGGGGGAGATAAACTTTTTAAAATGTCTGTGGAGATTCCCAGTCCTCCAGGTCGTGGTTGTCCCAAAGATGCTTTTTGGAAAGGCAACTGGACTTTCTTGTTTTTTCCTTGAAGACCTTTCGCTCCTCATCCAAGAAGCTTCTTCAGCTCTGACCGGAATGGTGAGGAAGGGAAGGATTTATACTCCTTGTAGACAGCTGGTCATTTGCCTTCTTTCCCAGCAGGGGTGTCAAAACTGGCGGCCTGTGGGCCGGATGCGCCACGCACAGGCCACGCCCACCCCAGCTCTGCAAAGGCAAAAAAAGTCGTGATACGTCACATGACGCGATCGAGTTTCGCACCCGTGTTTCAGAGAGTCGTCAAGGCCACCTTGAGTGATGTCGTATCCCTCCCCCTCTGTTGAGAGGAGCTGTTCCACAGAGGGGGAGGGATACGACATCCTCTATCTCAGTGGTTCTCAACCTTTTTAGTCCCGCGACCCCAACCGGTCGTAAGTCGAGGACTAAACCGGTCGTAAGTCGAGGACTACCCAACCGGTCGTAAGTCGAGGACTTTCCCTGCCCGGGAGCGCCGCGCATGCGTGGTTCTGCCCCCTGCGCCGGCCGAGGCGTAGCTGGCAAGCGGCAGAGACGGAGAAGGCCGACCACCAGCTGGCCCAGCCCAAGGGAGGTAAGGCACCCGCCGGAAAAGGGGAAAAAAATGGCGGACAAAAAAATGGCGGACAGCCTTGCTTGGTGACCCCCATGAAATGGTCGATCGACCCCAAATGGGGTCCCGACCCACAGGTTGAGAACCACTGCTCTATCTCCATCCTACAGCACAGTCCTTTCAGCAGTTCCGAGAAGGCTCCACATCAGGGGTGTCAAATTCGATCACATCCCGTGACGTATCGTGACATTTTTTGCTTTCTGGAGCGGGGGTGGGGGTGGCCCGCGTATGATGCACCTGGCCCGTGGGCCGCCCGTTTGACACCCCTGCTCCACACCACTCGGGTTAACCTGAGGACACAAATAAACCTTCAAGTGGCCTCAAGGACTCTCTAAAAGAAATGCAAATGACCAGCTGTCTGCAAGGAGTATAAATCCTTCCATTCCCCACCATTCCAGTCAGAGCTGAAGAAGCTTCTTGGATGAGAAGCGAAACGTCTTCAGAGGAAAAAACAAAGTCCAGTTGCCTCCTGAAAAAGCATCTTTGAGAAAACTTTTAAAAACGACTCAGAATCATTCTTAAGGTGACTATAAACCTGATGTTGTGTCATATGGTCATGATTGTTGTTGATGCAGTCGGAATGAACTTTGGGGAGTGTCAGATACCACACATATGCGAATTGCCCCTTTTCTCTCTTTTCAGAAGTCTCTCCTTTCTGGAGGCTCTGAATTGGCCCCTTTGGGGTATCGCATTCTAGGAGGAATATCAAAATAAAGGTTAAGGATTAAATCTTGCTTGGCTACATTTGTGCCATAGTTGTACTGATCAGGTAGATGCACACCAAAAGCTTATTTACATAGATTTTTGTCTTTGTTACTTTATAAGTAACTCATAGTAGCAAACAGACCTAATACAGGCAGTCCTCGACTTACACCAGTTCACTTAGTGACCATTCAGAGTTACAGCAGCACTGGAAAAAGTGAGTTATGACCATTTTTCACATGACAATTGCAACATCTCCACAGTCACGTGATCAAAATTCAGCCGGTTAACAACTGACTCATATTTATGACCATTGCAGTGTCCTGGGGTCAGGCGATCCCCTTTTGTGACCTTCTGACAAGTCAGTGGGGAAGCCAGATTCACTTAACAACCGTGTTACTAATTTAAGAACTGCAGTCGTAAAAGGGGGCAAAACTCACCCAACAAATGTCTCAGCAACAGAAATTTTGGGCTCAATGGTGTTCATAAGTCGAGGACTACCTGTATTCCTTCCTCCTGTTTGCCCCACAACAGAGGGCTGGGCTGAGAGAGAGGGACTGGTCCAAAGTCACCCAACAGGCTTTCCTGGCTAAGGTGGGACTAGAACTCACCCCTCTCCTGGTTTCTAGGCCAGCACCTTAATTTCCACACCAAACTGGCTTTGCCAACATATGAATTTGCCCACAAATTTGTCAGCAAATGAGTCCAGAAATTATGTTAATATAGCGAGTATAACTAATAGAGTGACATGGATGTCTTTTTGTAAAATATTTGTACGTCCCTTCTAATGCTTTGGCCTCTTAAATGTGTTGGTATAGGAACATATGCTAACAGCGATTTATACACTGGTTTGCTTACCTTGTCTTCCTTTGGCTGGTTAAGAAAAGCATACTGAAATGTGAATAGCAGACAATGGACTTGAATTTCATTATTGTTGACATTATGAGCCAGAACGTGCCACATAAATGTTTCTCTTTGGCATGTAAACAAAGCAGATGTCCTTCTGCCAATAGCTACCAACACAGAAAGCAATTTTCTTCTTGTGCTAATGTGTTTACTTTATAAAGGTCACAAAGTGGCTTGTTTCATTTTGGCTTCAGTATGTCTGACGGCAAGTAGTGTCTGTCGTTTTACCTGCACAATAAATTAAGGCACAGTGGGGCTTTGTTAAAGTTACAATTGAGATTTCCTGAAGCTTAAGAAAGGCCTTGTTGTTACTGGTGGAATGCTAAAGTGTTTTGTGGGTTGAACCTCAGATAAAAAAAGAATAAAGAATGCTGGAGGGATGAAAGAAATGTAACTTTGTTTATTGGCACTTGTGTATTCCATACCTTTATAAGTAAATCAGGGATGATTCCTACACTGGAGGATTTCACTAGAGCTAGAGCTATCACTTGGTTAATCATCTGTCTTGATGATTAAGTTTTCTTCATGCTTTTTGTACTATATAAATCGTGAGAGATCACTGTGCAATTTCAAAGAAATAAATTTGTAAAAATAAAAAAGAATAGAAAGCAATAAGTTGGGCTGTGGAAAGGAAAGCTTGTTCCTAAATATAGTCTCTCTCTTTGGTGTACTGTATACTAATACAGATCAGTGGGAAATATAATTTGCAAATCTTAAGTAAAGAATATGTTACAGTACTTTTTGGTTTGACTTACTTTTAATTTTACAGCTGTGTTATTAAGCATTTCTTTTTTAATTGTTTGGAAACCTAGCAATGATTTTTAAAAGGGAGAATTTAAAAGAATTTGGGACTTCCTGCGTGCAGCAGTAATTAGTAACAAACTTTCCTGAAGTTGCAGTGTGAACATTGGAGTTTATAGATTACAGAACAACAGAGTTGGAAGGGACTTTGGAGGTCTTCTAGTTCAAACCCCCCCCCCCTTGTTTAGGCAGGATGTGCTGAAAATGTTCTAGCATTTCCACATGAAATAAAGTGAGAGCATCAGGGATGTTAAGTAGTCTTAGCTTGATCATTATGATCCATGTATGCATATCGTACAAGGTAAGCAAAATGATCTTGACAGAGACTGACAAGCTCTGTTGCCAAGGCAACAAGAGGTAAAATACTTTTTAAGCCCATAACTTCCAGATACCATCCAGAAATGGCCAGGACACTTTCTTAATTCACTAAACTATAAGAAGAAGAAAGAATGGCTGACTTGCTTGATTCTCTGATAGGTAATCTCAATAAAACAATGGGTGCTTCATCACTGGAGGCCACTTGTCAGAAATGGTATAGGATCTTCTGCTTGAGAAGTGGATTGGACTAGATGACCTACAAGGTCCCTTCCAACTCTGTTATTCTGTAATTTAAGGCTTCCTGTGGAGTTGATTTCTTGATCTTGTCTATCTAGTAGGGCTGACACATATATGCCCCCAAAACCTGGAGAAAACACCCTATGTGCTTCTTATTTCTTTAGATGAGGAGATAAAAGAAGGTGGGTTGAAAAAGCAGTCATGAAGGCAGAAAGTCCAAAAAATGTTATTGTGATATTTGTTGTTGCTATTGAAGTAAAAGGATGTATTTCCTCCTCCCTTTACAGAGAATGAATTAAATATCTTCCTTGCGGATCAAAATGAACCCTACTTTAAGCCCAAAGTCAAATTACTATTAAGGTAAATGCAGCGTACTGGAATTGTTCCAATAGATTTTGTGTGCTGTTTATTCTATGTATCTGGATGTTAAATGGATCTTACTAAAATACTCAGGTCTCAAAAGATCTGTTTTGTAATGTTCATATGGGGATTTTTCTGCAGCCTCAAAGATGATTACAGTAATAATTCATGATTTATCTAACTTGTAGTGATGTTTTACATTCATAATGAAGCAGAGCACGAAACATGAGCTAAGCCCTTTTTTGAGGACAATGTATTTTTCAATAAATGTGCTTAGAGCTGCCCATGCAATACATTGGCATTTTTAAAAGTATTAATGGAGCCAATGGTTTTCAGAAAAATATTGTAGATTATTTTCAGCTTGTTCGTTGTGCTTTCTGATGTGAAACAATATACAAATAGTGCAGAGGGGATATGGCAGGGGAAATACGAGGAAAAAAAAGCTCAAACCCTTTATTGCCAAATCTGCTACTTCATTTCCACAGGATTCTCTACCAAGAGAGTCCACATCTCCACAATTTAAAACAGGGCAACTGAAGTCTAACTTATGGACTTCAACTCCCAGAATTCCCCAGCCAACATGGCTGACTGAAAAATTCTGGGAGTTGAGGTCCACAAGTTGAGGTCCACTTAAAGTTGCCAAGTTTGGAGAGCCCTGATTTAAAATCTTTTAAAATGCTAATACTTTCCCTTTCTCGGGAGTACTAAAATCCTATTTGGATTTAATTGATTAAACTACACTTGGAAATTGATACCAATTTTAATACCTATATTATAGCATATTAAATGTGTTGATGAAATTGGCCTGTTTTTGTAGAGTAGTTCACTAGAAATGTACTGCCCAGAAGCGCCCAATCCATGATTTCTGCGCCCCTATTTGCCAGGAATATGACAGCTCTCATAGACATTTAGAAGCATAAGACAATGATAAATTTTAATCTTTGAAAACTTTTTTTTTTTGAAGGACAAAAATGTATTTTCTCTGAACAAGTTCTGAAGTGTGAAATCGTTTAAGCCATCAGAACTGCAAAATTTAGGAAGGTACAGGGCTGAAGATGATTTTGTCAAGATTTTATTTTGAAGTAGAACAATTATACGTAAGGCAGCATTATATAAGTGTCATTTCTTTCCATGTAGTGTTTTCTTATGGTAGATTTGGTACTTCAACTTTTTTTTCCCCCCCTTAATTTCAGGGATGTTGTGATAACCAGTGTAGTTCCTGGTGATTACGACGGTGACTCACAAATGGATGTCCTTTTGACGACTCGTCCACAAGAACAGCCTAATGCTGACCTATCAGTCTGGATTTTCTGGGGAAATAATCAAACTTTAGGTAGGCTATATTGCAGTGATAATGTCCAGAAAATATTCATTGAGTTCTTCTGCAAAGCAACTATAAATATCCCCATTCTGGGGTGAATGTGAGAGATAAATGTACTTACATTCAATTTACATATAAAGGTTTAGTCCTTGACTCAAGAGCCTGTGTAATAGTGGAAGAGCATATTGTATCCAAGAAGTGTATAATATCGCCTTATACCTCCATTTAGATTTATCTGAAATTCTAGAACACAGGTGTCAAATTTGATCGCGTCACGTGACAATCACGGTGTTTTTTGCCTTTGCGGAGCTGGGGTGGGCGTGACCTGCACGTGACGTATCCAGCTCATGGGCCGCCAGTTTGACACTCCTGTTCTAGAGGCATGTTGCTCAACATCAAGCTAGATCAGTGATGGCGAACCTTTTAAAGACCGAGTGCCCCAAAACCGGTCCCGCCCCCGCTCTGCCTCCCCATCCCCTGCTCCGCCTGCCCACAGGACCACTCACCGCCTCCAGGGCCCACCGCAGATCGCCCAGGCAGCCCAGTAGGGCTATGGTGGCCATACCCTCTGCCCGCGCCCGCCAGCATCAACTGCATGATGGGCCATGAGGGCAGACTCTTGTCTATGCTGCCTGACTGCCATGTCCTTGGCTGCGCTGCTCCGTGTGGGCCATGCTCGAGGGCAAGTCTCCTTCAGGCAGGCTGCTGGAGAGGAGTGGGTTGCGGGGGGAGGTGAGGCTGGGGCAACAGCACGTGTGCCCACAGAGAGGGCTCCGAGTGTCGCCTCTGGCACCCGTGCTATAGGTTCGCCCCCACTGAGCTAGATAGTCCAACCTGAAAAAGAGCCAGGTTATGTTTAATAAATTCACCAAAGAAAGGAAAATATATATATATAGAGAGAGAGAGAACAACTAGACGTAGTAGACCACTACATATACCTTGGCCAACGGATCTCACTGGAAGGTGATACAATAAAGGAAATTGAATGGCGTGTTAAATGTGGTTGGCAGGCATTCGTCAAGCTAAGCTTAATTTTCAAGAACAATCTATGCCTGAAGAGAAAAGTTTTCGATCATTGTGTGCTACCTGCTCTAACACACGCTGGTGAAACATGGACGCTAACCTCTCAATTGATACAAAAGCTATGACTGGCGCAAGGAGTCATGGAAAGAGACAGGCTTGTCATCACAAGACAAGTGAGAAAGGCCTGCACCTAGATCAGAGGACAAACAAAAGGATACAATATCATCCAGAGAGCAAAAGAACTGAAATGGAAATGAACTGATCACATAGCAAGAAGAACTGATGGCAGGTGGACCAAGGCGGTCATAGAACGGATCCCACTCGATTAAAAGTGTCCACGAAAGAGAGCTAGAACAGGATGGAGCGACGACATCAGCAAATATGGCGGGCCCAATTGGCAAAAGAAAGACCATATTGGTGGGAAACACACAGAAGAGACCTCCATCCTGAAGTGGATAAACAATGGCTAAAATGGTGATGGTGATGGTGATGATGATAACACCTTTATATATGACCAACAACTTTTGTCTAGGACAGGAGTAGTCAACCTTGGCTCTTTTATGACTCGTGGACTTCAACTCCCAGAATTCCTAAGCCAGCCATGCTGGTCTAGAATAAGACATAGTGTATACGTGTGAGTGAGTTTGTGTAATTTATATACATATATATAGGCTGAATAAGTTTCATAGATTTGTTCCTCTATCCATTTCTCCATTTGTACAGAGATGCATACGTCAGCTGGACCTGTAGAATTTTTAAGTAATGTGCACACCACTCTGATTCAGGTTAAAATACATGAGCTGTGCAATGTCTGATTCAAATCTTTCCTTTTTGTATCATCAGTTAGGCAGGGAAATTTTTTTCTTGATGATTTTTCTTTTTTAACCATGATGTTGAAATTGATATCGTATTGTCTTCCATAAGAATTACACGTACACATTTTGAAAGGTGATGTTTAGAGATGTTAAGAACATCTGTTCAGAGTGTAGTGCTTTTATGTCCCATTGTTATTAATCAAAACAAAGTAAAATCATTATCAAAAGCGTAAGCTCTTTTCACTACAGGAAAGCATATTGGACGTTACAGTCCAGCCAGGTAAAATTGTTTTAAGGATTATTACTATAAATAAACAGATCTGTCTTCAGTTCCTTGAATTTCTTCATTTTATTTCTAGATGAAATAGAGAAATCTCCTGGATAGTTCCATATTCCTCTGGAATAGGAAGAAGGTTAATTTCAGTCTGTAGTAATGGTGAATACAAAGAATCATAAATAAAACAAGGACCCAGTTGAATGTATGTAAATGTGAACATGTAACAAATGTGACTCTTTTTTTTGTCTTTGTTTTTTTCCTCAGATATAAATCGTAAATTTGTAGCAAATAAGACATTTTATGACGAACCATTAATCATGGAGTAAGTGTATGCTTACTGTGAGATTTTTAAGAGTAAAATTATGGGTGGGTTGATATCGTTTTTAAATGATTTTTTTTTAAAGTGGTTGTATACAATTGTGTAATTTGAATATCCAACTTTTGTTGTTTTGCTGTTGCTGCTGAAGTTTCAATGGTGATTTAATTCCTGACATCTTTGGAGTTACCAGTGAATCCAAAAGGCCAGAAATACTGATTGGCAGGTAAGCTAATATCTTCATTATTGTTCTATCCTAAGAATTTGCTATACGATATTTCAGTAATAAATACTTATCACTCCAAGTTGTGTATTTTTATGGAACCAAACTTTGGCTAAATGTTGGTAATGTACCATACTTAAAAAGTGAATTCTTGCAAGATAATGGTAACCAGTGGTTCATATTAACAGAGAATCCTTGACTTACAACCGCAGTTGGAACTAAAGTTTATGTTGCTAAAAAAAGGAGGTTGCTAAATGAGTTGTCAAGCAGATCATCTGCTCGTTAAACAAATCCACTTTCCCCCATTCACATTGCTTGTTGGAAGCCACCTGGGAAGGTCACAAATGGTGATCACGGGACCCCAGGACACTGTATCGTGTTTCCCCGAAAATAAGCCCTAGCCTGATTTTTTGGGGTGGGCCTAATATAAGCCCTACCCAAAAAATAAGCCTGGGGTGGGTGGGCGTGGCCAGCACAGGTGAGCACTCAGGGGTCAACGGTGTCCGGCTGTAGCCGCAGCCCCCCGGCTCCTTGGCGCAGCACAAGTAAGTCCGAGCGCAGAGGTGGAGGGGGAGGCAGGCAATCCGGATGCGTCGTGCACTTTTTGCCCAGAAAATTTGCTCTGTCTCCAAGCACCCCATAGGTGCCCAGACGGAGAAATGACGGAGACCAGAAGCTTCGTCTGCTTGCAAATGGGGCGCTTGGAGACGGAGTGAATTGCTTGGTTTCTAAATGCCCCATTTGGAAGCAGACAAAGCTTCCAGTCACCCTCTGGGTGAGAAGTGTTTGGGCGCCTATGGGGTGCTTGGGGCAGCTCCACCCCCTCTCCCACTCACCTCACCTGATGGCGCAGCGGGCCACACGACCTCCTACCGCGAGCGCCCGCAGAAGTGGGCCGGCAGCCACACAGGCTCCTGCTGGACGGGATTGTGGGTGCCACCACCACAAGGCGAGGCAGGTGTCAGGGAAAAAATAAGACATCTCCCGAAAATAAGACCTCCTGCCTCTTTTGGAGGCAAAAAAAATATATATAAAACCAGGTCTTATTTTCAGGTAAACATAGTTAACAGCTATCGTAATTACACTGGTTGCCGAGCACCCAAATTTTGATCATGTGACCATGGGGATGCGGCAATGGTCATAAGTATGGAGACCGGTCGTCACTATTTCAGTACCATTGTAACTTTGAACGGTCGCTAAACGAATTGCTGTTGGTGGACGACTGCCTGTTTCTTAGAAGATTCCTTCTTATCTGTAATGAAAGGACGGGAAGGAAATCTCTTGATACAGCATTTGCTAGGCACAGCTTATAGATATTTGCATTCAAGGAAATCAATTGAACAAAATAGCTGCTTCTCGGTTAATCTTAAACCGGCTCAATATTTTTTTCTTAAATTAATCTGTTAAGGTTGAGCAGGTTTCTTGGTATTGGAAATTTGTCGGAACGCAGCCGTGCGTAATGCCCCTTTTCACAGGGCCCACCCAGAGGACCGCCATCTTCGGCCAGGGGTTTAACTTTTATATGGAACCAACGAGAGCGTTCACCACCTCAAAAGCAAAATGGTGTATTGTGCAGTGTTTTGTGCTTCCCTGGGGCTTTTCTAGCACTTCTGTCAAGACAAGCACATCACACTTAAGAGAAGTCAATCAGATTATCCTCCTGTTTCCATAGAAACAGCGCAGCAATTTTCGAACTTGGTTCCCCCCCCAGGCCTCCCAACTCTTTTAATTAAGCAACATGTTTGGTATCCTTCGCAAGTAACTTTTGTTAAATAAAAAAGGCAAAAGAATCGCCCAGTTAAGTAAATGATGAAATAACTTAAGACTGTGGTATTTGAAGACCCAAATTGTGGTAGTTGGTATATGTTGGATTTGTCTCAGAACTCTGTTTGTGGCATTTTCTTTGGCAGGACAAATGACTAGCATAAAAAGCAGTGTTTTGTTTTAGGTTTGTGTGGTGTAAATATGGGTGGGCCCTCTTTTCGAATATGGGGCATTAGTTGACCATTAAGGTATTTCAGTCGTATGGAGATTACTCCATAAAATCTGTGACTTACAGAACAAAGCCTTCAAATTGCTCTGGGGTTATGCGGTAGCAATTACAACCTCGCATAAGTTTTGTTAGAAGATTTTAGCAGCTTTTGAACGGTGGGGGGGGGGAAACCCCACCACCTCTCTGTTCTTGGTTCTCTTCCTGCTTTCCCCTCTTCCACCTCCCCGCCAGGAGAAATATTTTTTAGTAGAATGTAATTCTTTTCTTCAAATGAAGTGCAGGATTATAGTCACACTGCATGAAAAGTATGGGTGGGTCTTATTCCTTTGTGAATCAGTACTCTGCTTTTATTGCCTTTTTTATCCCGAAGAAAAGGATGCAAGTGCTAGCTCGTTGGAGATGGAAATGTTTTCCTGCCAAGTCTTGTAACATTTTGGAAGATGCATTCACTCAAACAATAAAATTAATCAGCATGGGGTAATTTAATTTGCAGTAAAATGCTAATTTCTGGAAACCATGCTTCAGAAGGAATGTTGTTAAGCTATTCAAAGAGGAGGAGGAGGAGGAGGAGGAGGAGGAGGAAGAGGAGGAGGAGGAGGAGGAGGAGGAGGACGACGACGACGACTATGGGGTCCTTGGTGCTCTCTGAGCTTGGTGGTTTTCTTGCGGACGTTTCATGACCCAACTAGGGAACACCATCAGTGCTAGAAGGGAGGGGGGTTTGCAGAGAAGAGGAGGAGGAGGAGGAGGAGGAAGAGGAGGAGGACTATGGGGTCCTTGGTGCTCTCTGAGCTTGGTGGTTTTCTTGCAGACGTTTCATTACCCAATTAGGTTACATCATCAGTGCTAGTCAAGACAGGCAAATTCAAAAAAATCCCAAATGAGCCTTGATTTTGCTGTTGTGAGAAAGAATCCAGAGACTCTACACAGCATGTGTTTTCTTATATTGTGCCTCCTATAAGGAACCAGAAGGTCATTTATAGGTATCCAGGCACTTTGGGCCTATTTGATATGCTATTCCTATCAAACCAATAGGATTCAGTTTTCTTGACTTTAGCAAATTTTGCTAAACTGTCTGTAAAACCAGGCAGAAAAGAATATTTGTAGCTCAGGGTAGAACCATGGCATCCTTGGTCTTGCATTGATGATGTTGCCTTGTTGGCTAATGAAACATCTGCCAGAAAACCATCAAGCTCTGAGACCACCAGGGACCCACCGCCTGTAAAACTTACCATAACTCGAAGATGTGCCATGGTTATCTTTTTTATGTTTACACTTTATTTCATTTGAAGCATTGCTTGTTTGCTTTACTTATCTGCAGAATTGATAAGTAAGACCATGATAAATCAGCTAACTGAAGGTGTTCATTTGATAAAAAATCCACAGTGTATATAAAATGCTTGATTTATATATGTTAGTTTTGATGGAGTGGTACCATAATGGCTGGGTTCATACAACAAACCTAATTTGTTAATTAAGGTTAACCAAATTAATTGGTTATGTTTGTGACACACATGCTAGCTATGCCCAACAAATGAAATACATTTTAACAGTCATGCACCTGGTAAGATAATATCCAATTTCCCTTAAGGTGTTAAGCCACAAACTACCTGGTTGGTATATTGTGCAACACATCTAGCTATTAGTGCTGTGACATATATGTATGTTTTTGCTGATGGAATATCCCTCTCTTTAGAATGTGCGAGCAAAACATTTTTAATCGCTTGAACCTATGGCACTAGCTTTTCTCTAAATTTAAATCAACTTACAAATAACTCAGGTATGGAAATCAAATTCCATTAATGTCTTAATCAACAGAGGAGACTTAGTTGGAAAGCGAGACTCAAGGGAATAAGTATCTAAAGCCAAATCTTCTTAAAGAATACTTAATCATTGAATGAAGCGGCCAGAGGTTTAGCCAGCATAGCAATTTCAATTAAATGTATTTTAATCATCAGCTTTTAAACAAAAAAAACAAAAACCTTTGAGGCAAATGGCCCGGCCTATTTATAATTTTTCCCTTGTTTCTTATTGCTAACAGTTGTCTTACTAAGGCAGTTTTAATGATTCTTTTAAAATTTACATTGGGCCTCCGGGTGCCTATATGCAGTTCAGCATAATTTCACTTACCACTCCAAAAGTAAATTATTAGATAGAGTTGCTTGCCAGTCGAGTTCTCCAGTATAGATAGTCCTTGACTTACGACAACAATTGAGCCCAAAATTTCTGTTGCTATGGGAAACATTTGTTAAGTGAATTTTGCCCCATTTTATGACCTGTCTTGCCACAGTTGTTAAGTGAATCACTGCAGTTGTTAAGTTAGTAACATAGTTATTAAGTGAAACTGGCTTCCCCATTGACTTTGAGCAGTGATGGCAAACCTTTTAGAGACCAAGTGCCCAAACTGCAACCCAAACCCCACTTATTTATTGCCGGGTACCAGGTGGGCGTAGCTGTGGTGGTCATGGCAGATTGGATGGGTGTCGCCAAGGTGGGCATGATCACCTCGATGTTGCTCGTGTGGAGGGACGCCTGTGGGGGCCGGGCAGGGTAGGGGAGATCCAGGGGGTCTCTGGCAGGTGGGGCGGTGGGCAGGAGGCTCATCCTGCTGGGTGAGGTGAGGCAGGGCGGGGGTGCCATTGTCACAGGGCAAGGTGAGGCCGGGGCGGCTGATGCCTGACACCATCGGCCCCTGCACACAGAGGCCAGCGAGTGCATGGATGCTGGGATGCATCTGGCCATGTGAGACCTTGGTGAGTTAGTGGGCGGCTGGTTGAAGAGGGACGGTTGCCATCTCCAGGGCATGGCACGCGTACTCACAGAGAGGGCTCTGAGTGCCACCTCTGGCACGCATGCCATAGATTCGCCACCACTGACTTTGAGCATCCCATGACGCCAGGACACTGCAACCCTTATACATACGAGTCAGTGGCCAAGCGTCTGAATTTTGATCACGTGGCCACGGGGATGCTGCAACGGTTGTAAGTGTGAAAAATGGTCACAAGTCAATTTTTTTCAACGCTGTTGTAACTTCAAACGGCCACTAAATGAACTGTTGTAAGTCGAGGACCACCTGTACTAACTAAGGAAGATGGGAAGATCTTTGAAAACATGCCTGAGAAGGTACAAATTCGAAACACCAAAATTGAGCCCAAACAAAAATCTTAACCCCTGTTATTAGCAACGTGTAAACTGATTCAAATTTGAAATGTTTCAAGCTCATGGCACCCTGCTTCTACACTTGAAACAGCTGTTCTAAGATTTCAGAAAGGGTTCTGAGCTCAAAATAGCGTGGCAAAATCAGAAATGTGCACTTGGATTATGTATCCCAAGTGTCCGAGAGAAGAGCTCCAGCTATTTTAACCTTCTCCTCCAAGGCAGGCTGTTATACCTCTATCTTCTGGAAACTATTTAAGGCAGAAGCAAAGGCACGGTCATGATCGGGTGATGTACCAATGGTTCGTCCTACTCCAATCCAGAGAGGGGGCCATTAAAATTCCTGAGGGCCATTTTGCAAGTCCCCAAATGTGCCTCTAAGGCAGCTGGGTGACTAGAATTGAGAATCACAAGCCTGAATTGGATTCCTCTTTTTAACCTTGCCTGGATAACTGATTCCCCCAGAGTCGCTCGCTGTGAAAGAGATGGGCAGTCTCTAAATTTGATAAAATGAATTAAAACAACAAGAGACGGCTTTTTGTTCCGTACGGAAAACAGGCATTCGAGGGAATTTGGCTCTTTGTGGTGTTTCCTGGGGCGCTGGGCAAATTGCCAGGGGGCAGGGATGCAAAACATATTGGAGAACACAAAAAATGGGCAGAAGGGATTGGTATGGGCCGGGCGATGGGCAACTCTGACAACGTTATGACTTTTGGACTTCAACTTCCAGAATTCCTGAATGTCCACAGATCGTAAAATTACCATAGTTTCCCATCCCCAATATGGGCTCAAGACAACTTCCTCTATAGTACTTATTGGGCCAAAATTTGCCAATGATTTCCAGAACATCACAAAACCTTCTTCCCCCCCAGGCAAGGCTCAATATATCATCTGCAGCTGATGTTGATAGCAAATATTGTTAGAATTCCTATGATCTGAATATTTTTGACTTAATGGCTCTCATATAAAAGAAGATCTAGGCCAGGGGTCGTCAAACTTGGCCCTTTTATGACTTGTGGACTTCAACTCCCAGAATTCCTCAGGCAGCCAAGTTTGACGACCCCTGATCTAGGATTTTTACTTATTGTAACTTCTTTGGAAATTATTTTAATCATGTCCTCTTTTTTATAAAGGCTGGCCCAGGCAGAGAAGATGATAAACTGTATATTTCATTATTCTGATCAGAGTGTAGGACTAATGTTACACTTTGTGCAGCTTAATTTGGCTTTGTATCTTTGAGAGTACATACTGAGGTTCTTTCTGGCACAGCACAATGCCTATCAAATAACTAACATTCTGTTTTTTTTAATTAATAACAAAAAGAAAAGAAAATATAATAAAGTCAGACTCCCAGATTTTAACTCAACTCATTCTATCTTAGGCATACAAGCTGATTCTTAGTTCATTTTAGGGTGAATATAATGCACTGTGTTTCTTACCTGCTTAATTCAAACTAAAAAAAAAAAGGCATCGGTCGTATAACTATTTATGTGTGTAAAGAACCTCACAAAAATGCATATAAGCTGTTAATTTTCAAAATGTTATTTCTCAGGAATTTAACATGGCACCCAATGCTGGATGCAGAAAATGCAATGTTCAAGCCTCATTCCCATGCATTCATCGATATGAATCACGATTTCACTGCAGGTAAGTCTCTTTGAAACTTTTAAAAGTTTTCCCATGATATAGGCAGCGAATATTAATCGGAGGCATGCAAAACATTTTGAGCCAGGAATGCTCCCAGCAAGGTCAAAACAACCTATTTTTTTAAAAAAAAATAAAATTTTATTAATTTTTATACTTAACCAACAAATACCAATATGATGCATTTACATATACAAGCAATAAAAAATAATCCAAATCAGTACATTTCCGGAGACGCTCGGCAGTCCCCGCCTTGCCTCCACCCTCATTCACCTTCCTGTCCTTCCTCCCTCTGATCCCACAACCTCTCCTCCTTCCTCCTTACCACCTAACTACATCCCCTCTCCCTTCTTAACCGCCTCTTCGAGTGCAGTTTGGGGTGCCAGCCGAGCATCTCCTCTTTTCAATACAGTTATTATTCACCTATAACATATAAATACATCAATTTTTGTAATTTTAATCCCCTAATCCCCTCTTGAATTAGAAAACAGCCTATTTCTAATTCAAAATATTTTGCTCGGCTCTGATCTTGAAAAACTAAAAAGCACGGATCTGATTAGTGCTTGAATGGGAGACTCCTCAGAATTATCAACACTATGGGCTAGAGAAGATTTTGGTTTTTAAAAAAAAATCCCAAAAGAAGGCCATGGCAAACAACTACTGTATTGTACTGCCATAAAGTCATGAGAAGTTGAACTCAACTCAAAGTAGACTTTCATCCGTCTTCATCGAGTGTTTCCTAAACACGGCAACCTCCAGGCAGATGGACTTCAAATCTCAGAATTCCACGGTCACTTGGGAGTTAAAGTCTACCTACCAGGGCATGGCTGCCCATGACTTACGTTTGCTGAAAAACTGTTACACACAAATGTCTAAATGTCTGTGGAGATTCTCAGTCATCCGGATCATGGATGTCCCAAAAGTGCTTTTTAAAAAAAGGCAACTGGAGTTTCTTGGTTTTTTTTTTCTTTGAAAACATTTCGCTTCTCGACCAAGAAGCTTCTTCAGTTCTAACTGAGGTTAGAATACTTCAAATATTATACTAGTAATATTTAAAGTTGGCTGAGTTGGCTGGGAGCCTTAATTAGGAATCCCCTTTTCTCCATAGTATCACTGGAAGTTTTTAAGAAGAGATTGGACAACCATTGGTCTGAACTGGTATAGGGTCTCCTGCCTGAACAGGGGGTTGGACTAGAAGACCTCCAAGGTCCCTTCCAACTCTGTCATTCTGTTAAAATATCCTGAGACCTGCTAGAACTCTTTTCTCATCTATATTCACATCTTCTTTCGTATTAATAATAAGCATTTTAAGGGGAGAAGGGAAGAATTTTTCATGTTCTCTCTCTCTAAATTTTATCTGACAAAATTCTGTTCTTGCATTCTGTTCTATTCCTCTTAGACTTCTTATCGATATGCTATGCATACTATGATATAGTTACTTGATTGTGAGGTGGGTGGCTGTATAAATATGAGAAAATAAATAAATTGCTGTTTTGGGTTTCTCTCACATGGGCCTGGATTGGGGTTAATTTAATTATTTGACCTCATGTTGCAGTTACATCACAATCCTTTTGCTTCAAATAACACCATCCTTTTCCCTAAAGCCTGTCATCTTTCAAAACAGTGGGCAGACATGATTTTATGCTTGTCATGTCAATATCCTAAATTATAATTAAAATGGACAGAATCTATCTTTTTTGTTTCCTATTTCCAATACCCCCAGTTCTCTAAACAGCGGAATGTTAATAACTTTTAATACCGTGCCAATGTTGTCGCGCTGAAACCATACAACGTGTCAAGATTTATAACAACATAATCAAAAGGGAAACAAAACAAAAAAAAGGAGAGGCAGTTTGTGGGTTCCAATTGGCATGAGTACCTGTGATTGTGTGTTATTCTATTTAATTTCACTGCAGGTGTTGCAGTCTGCATCTCTGCTCAGTCATCTCTCTCTCTCTCTTTCTAAAGGCATTTTTAATGTCAAAAATATTGCCGGATTTTGCCCTTTGCTACACGATATTTGGTTGGTCGATAATGAAGGGAGATCATAGATCTCGGTTCGATTGATCATGAGTTCTTGCATTATCTGCCTCTGTAGGTTCCTTGTGCCTTGTTGATTTCCCTTCACCTTTTTCCCATCTTGCTGGCTGCTGATTATTATGGTTATTAAGAGTGTGATTCTCCCAGGTTCTTTCATCTTCCAGCTTTAAAAAAAACTCGTCTTGACTTTTTTTTCCCCCTTCGCTTTTGTTCTGGATCCGTTTGAATGTCTCCTTTGATTTAGTTTTGGCTTACCCTTACGTTTCACGTTTTTAATCCTGTTTTCTGCACCGTGTAAAAAAAATAATAAATGGCTCACCGATGCAGTGTTATAACAAGCAATGAATCAATATGATTCTCTTGATTTTAGCGGGTTGGATTATGGCAGAGAGATAAATGCAATGACTGAAAAGGCTTCAGGGGGGAAAAAATAGTGGAACTGGAGGAAAGAAATTGTTTGAAAGATCAAAGGCAAATTGGTTGTGGGGGGGGGAAGCAAATTCCAGGTTGCCCTACATATAGAGAATGTTTTCTTTCTTTCTTTTGCAAATGTGCTCAAAATAATAAAAGCAGCGAAACTGTTTTTGATAGTGACATTATTATAACAGATTTAAAGTACGTCTGCAAAAAGGAGATGAGGGGAATCATTTTTACTCTCAGCATTTTTATACCACGTTAGTTGTTTTTTTTTTAAAAAAAAAACCTAATATATTTCAAACTGCTGTTTTACCACCCACTTCCCTGACTATCGTTGGTATATTTTACTTAGCTGAGATCTAACGTGCTGTTTCTGTAGTCCTTCCAATCTGTTTTGGAATTATATTGGTTACCTAATAAAAATTATGCGCGTAATGTATTTTGGGAAATAAGAACATCAGTTGTTAAGAAAATGAACCTGTTGTGGTACTTGAGGAAATAACTTTCTGCATTCCGAGCCTTATCTTTTTCTATGATATATCTGTTCTACATACAGTAGATATCCCAGATTTGACAATACAGTACAATATTGGACCAAAATTCTGTCTCCCTCGCCGCAGGGAGACGGAACCGCTTAGATGGTTCCGTCCCAGGCTCCTGATGGACCCGGAGAGGTTTCGGACGGAGCTTGGGCCATATCCTGAGGAGCTAGGTCACGACTCGGCGGAAGATCAGGCTGCGGCCTGGGATGTGGCCGCAGCCGCAGCACTGGACCGAGTCGTGCCGCTGCGGCCTCTGACCCGAC